TTGATCTCTTCGATTGTGAACAGCATCGTGTAGAGTCTTGTCAGAGCCCTCTCGTTTAACCTGGAAAGGAAAAAGACATGTCAACATGTTGGGGAATAAAAAAAAATAGGCATGCTTTGTTATGCTTCAGGTCTGTTAGGTACTCTCACTGATGCACCAAGGCTTAGATACAATCCAATGTTCTTCAGCTAAATGATGATAAGACGGAGATGTTGCTTATTGGGTCCCCACACGAATGTTCTAAGACTGGTTCTGTCTAACTACCGACGGCCACAATATTGGTGCTGTTCAGAAAATTCGCAATCTTGGTGTTATCATTGATGCCTCAGTAACCTTCGAAGCGCACATTAACAAGGTAATGAAAGCTGCTTTATTCCATCTTAGAAATGTAGCCAGGTTGCGCCCCATCTTTTCACGATCGGACACTGAGAAAGCTGGCTCATGCGTTTGTTTTCGCTCGTATTGACTTTGGTCATTCACTGTTTTCTGGCATTCCACCTTAAACTGTTAAGTCGCCTACAACATCTGAAGAATGAGGCTGCCAGAATTCTCACGCGCACCACGCCTCTTGCTGAACGCATGACCCCTGTGCTGGCGTCTCTCTATTGTCCGGTCTTGGTAGAGTTCAAGATTATTCTCCTCACCTACACGGCCCTCAATGATGCTGCTCCCTCATATATACCGGCATGTTTGTTTTAAATTAATGTAATGATCAAAATACACCACGACAGAGTGTCATTAATTGTGTTGAATAAGAAGGGTTTCTGATGTTAACATAATTTTATCCTTAAAACATTATTATAAAAATATGCAATTAAATTAAATCTGCCAAAGTAATTTTCATCAGTCAGTTCCATAAAGTATGTTGTTCAGTTTCTCTGAATTATAGATTACAAGTGTAAGAAAGTTAAGTTCATCTGCATGTAAACTTACATTACGCAATCCGCAGATGTAGGAACGGCGTTGAATTCAAGTGGTAGATTAATTACGCTGTTGTGCAGTGGAAACAATCCACCTAATATAACGTCTCCACCAGACTCTATAAACAGCCTGGTTTCTATATGAGGAGTTATATGCAGTACGATTAAGCCTATAGCTAGTAAACATAATGGTTCCATTTCACGCGACTTCTGAATACAGCCTGTATACCTTTTTTCAGTGTATTTATAGGCGTCTGCTCGTGTTGCATGGGAGTTTCCAACATACCTGAAATACATCAGTGGTTATTCCAGTTTGACTGTGTTGTTGTTTTTCCTTTTGTATGGGAGGTATTTGTATTGAATGCCTTTCTTGGTTTGTAAAATCCCACACACAATTGCTGTCCATTATTTTTTCTTAAATTTAACATACAGCAAACCCTTGCCCATCGTGGGGGTTATGGTCTGGAAAATCTGTCGTGAATCATTTCGAATGTAGGGGGGGGGGGGTCGGCTAAATAGACATAGTCATCCTCTCAGCCGACAAGGGCAATGCCACTGTCATCTTGGACAAAACCACATACAATAACAATTCATGACCTACTTAATGATGGCAGCTATACAAAAATCAATAGAGATCCTATCAACCGCCTGGTTATTAAAACCAACAACAATCACTGATTCGACATCTTTAATCGATACTCTTTGGTTCATTCGGTAATGTCACGTAGGTAGAAAAATTAAATAAAATCACGACGTTTCGATCGCAACACAGGCGGTTGTCCTCAGGCGGACAAAATAATCCAGCAGTGGAACTGCTGAACCAGGAAGAACACAGCGAGAGAGAGCTGTTACAACAAGAGGTTATATTTGTGACAAAGGGTAAGCAGGCGGTGTCTGAGCTGGATAAGAATTCCATCTCCAGACGCAATCACGTCAGTTGTGTTGCGTGTTCTGTCCTTCGGAGAAGTGAGCGACTCGACAACAGCTCAACACCAGGGGTTTGCGAAACTTTATTTAAAAGGTCCTTTTTAGAAGGACAATTACGTATCTGCAATAGCAATCAGATATACCCTCCATATCACATTGCCGCAGTTCAATTCCTCGGTCCGAAATCCGCTCAAAATCTAAACTTGGGACTGCCTCGTCCTCTATTGTGCACATGGAGCTCGGGGTCCAATCTCTGATCACCATTGCCTGATCTCAAATAATACAATGAACCTGACTACCTGTAGTTATGTTAAAATAGGTTCCCATATTGATTTGAAGCCTTCGTGACTGCAGGAATCCATACTCTTTGGTTCTTTCGGTAAAGTCACGTAGGTTTTAAAACAGTCTGCATCAGCAACAGACCAAGCTTTCCCACCTGATGACGGACGCTTGTGTTGCGCCCGAAACGTCGTGATTCATTTATTTTATACCAACATGACTTTACCGAAAGCACCAAAGAGTATAGGTTCCCATATGCTACTGAAAGCATAATTTTTGTTTGATTAATCACAGGTGAGCTCACACCGGCGACACCTGCTTAAGGACATTCTTCAGAGAATATCTCAGCAGGCAAACAACCAAAAATATTTTTGTCAGCGTTCACATTTTAAAAATATCCAGATGAGTGGTAATTCCGGTTCTTGTATAATCTGATATTTATATGGATGCATACGTCTAGAATTGCCTTTTGTACAGAAACACTGAATGGCACATCATTGTGTACTACATACCCTTATTCTGTTTAGTTCCTTTCCGTCTATCCGTAGAGACAATGATGGGGCCAGTTTCACAGTTTCCTTTGCTTGCAGCTCTCTTTGTCCATAATACAGGTTTTTTTTGGGTTAAATCGCGTAAATATGTGTAATTAAACCCACCACCACCCGACACAGCCAATTTGTAAGGTTTGTCAAGTAAACATAACATGCCAATTATTTACTAGTACATCACACTGGTGTGTTGGAGAGATAAGCCACAACATTTAAAATCTGAGAACAATCTCGATTCGAAGCTTTGGTGACTGCAGGAATCCATACTTTTTGGTTCTTTCGGTAAAGTCACGTGGGTAGAGAAATCATAGATCACGACGTTTAGATCACAACACAAGCGACCGCCATCAGGTGGAACAGATACAGCAGGAGAACTGCTGACGTAGGAGGCTCCTGCTGACATGAGGCATGGTGTGTGGCGGTCCACTCTTAGTGTCAACCGTCAACTTCTCCAGCAACGAATCGTCCTGTTATTGGAATTTAGCTTTACTGATCACATCTGGATTGGAATCAACGAGTCCAATTTGCCCAGATGATGGTACTAGGTGTGTTTAAGCTAACACAAAAACACGTAATAGGTGGGCTTCCGACCCACAACTGTAGAAAATGTACCTCCAATTTAGCACGGTTGGCTCTGTACTGTGCGAAAAAAGTTCTATACTTATCTGCATTGCAGGCTTACCCTCTGCAAATCCTTAAAAGTCAGTGATTTCCTGCTCAAATCAGCAATCAGGTGGTTCCAATTTCTTGTTCACAGCTCAGAGTTAGTGGTGGAAATTCCACATGCCTTACATTTAATAAAATCTCTCACGTTGAAAAAGTTAACAGTAATTCCTCAAGTTACGCGTGTTCACGTAATGCGTTCTTTCTACATAACGCGGAAAGCGGCCATCCTGGTGCCGGGCCTGTTACTAACTATTTATTATACAGGAGGAAGGAACAACAGTTCCACACTGCCCACCAGGTATAATACAGGTAGGAACTACAGATGCAGGTAGTTCCACACTGCCCACCAGGGATTGTTTGTCTGTCTGTCGTGCATGGCCACGCCCTCGACTTGTATTTCATAGAAGAGCGCTTCGGGCGGGCACAGCACCACGTGACGCGCCGCCCCACGCAGCTTGCACCACGTGACACGGATCGCATGACAGCGCTGTCCAACCAAGTTGCTAGCTGCCCACTCCGAAGGAACGCGTTTATTGCTTTTGCTTTAAATCGTTGCTGCTGTTGTGAATGGTATTCAGATTCAGTGGACTGGCTGTGCCTTTGAGTGTGCGTGGTGGCATGTGCGTTTAGGCCCAGCGGCTTGGCTGGAATGTGGGGGAAGCCTGTTGAATCCTGATTGTGTTATTTATGTATTTGCTTGCTTGGTGGTCGGACGGGTTTTTATGAGTTTGCTCTTGTTTCTTTGGTAATGACGTTGATTTGGGCTAAGCGATGTCTATTTGTGATGCAGCATCCTGTCATACTGTGTAATAGTGGTACATCCTTGATGGTTTCAGTCACCATGTATTCATGTCTGCAATTAGTTTATTTTAACTGTCAGGTGTTGAGCCTCGTGTTAAATCACTTTATTCCACTCGATAAAGGTTACTGTCACTGTGAATATGGAGTGGTTACGTCGAATGACAATCGCCTATAGCCCTAGTGTCATGGTGAGGTTATTCGAAGGCGGTTTCTTTTCGGGAGGATAGCACTGCAGGCCTGCAGGTGTAAAATGCACGGCCCGCCACTGGTAGATGCACAACAACAACAATCTCACATGCAGGTGGTCACAAGCGGGCCTGGAGCAGCGGAGTGTGTGGCTGTGATGTCTCCTTCGTATTTGTGGATCGGGCATTGGGTTGTTTTATGTGGCACATAGCCTGGCACAATGGCACTCCCCTAATTGCGTCCTCCACGAGCCTCCCCCACAAGAAGCCGATCTTGTCACCACTGGTGCTGGTCTTTTGGCAAGTCCACTCAGCTCCACATCCTCCTGTACTGCCTCAGCTACATCTCTCCTACAACAACATTCCATAGCGCGTGCTATAAAGAATGGTTATTGCCAGAATCGCCGTCTATCCTATACATTTTTGCCATCCATTGTATAGCTTGGCGCTGTGTTAATGTCAAATGCTTCGACTGCTGATGGTACCAGCAACATACATGATTTGAACTGAACAAGATGGCAGTTCACCTTGGCCACAATAACGTCACGTGACGCATCCTCCACGTTGGTCAACCAAAGTGGGTCACGTGCCCCCATGATTTGAGCTAAACAAGATGGCGTCCCAACATCGAGCCTGATTGGCGCATTCACGTCACGTGATGCCACGTTGGTGAACCGAGTGCGCGGCCATTTTCTGGGTGTTGTTCCGTCTTCTTCTCTCCCTCCGGCGGCGCTCTGCGGTCTGCACCCCGAGCCCCGCTTCTACTCGTTCGCGTCTACTCCTTCTATTCCACTCATTCGCTTCGCTTCTACTCATTCGCTTCTACTCCTTCTATACCACTTCGCTTCTACTCCTTCGCTCCGGGGGGAGGCCAAGCGATGGCGATCTGAGCGGCGGCGCGTTGGCGGCTCGGACTTCGGCATCGGCAGCGGCGGCACAAACAACGGCGATGGCGTGAGTAGCCATCCATCACGACCCATCACCATCAATAACATCACAACCCATCACCTCCACAACCCATCACCTTCACCATCCACAACATCACAACCCATCACCTTCACCATCCATCACAAGACAACATCACAACCCATCACCTTCATAATCAATAACATCACAACCCATTTCACATTACATAACTTTAATATTAAATTACCATCCATACAATTTATAATCCAATACATGACAACGTATAACCTTCACAAACCATCACATTACCATCCATCATCTTCATAATCCATCACATTACAAGCCAGAGCCTTCGCAATCTATCATCTTAATACTTTTGGCGCAAAACCACGACATCTAAACCCACAAGAGGGAAGGGATTTCTGTATTGTTATGCGCTGTCACGCACGATAGATTTATATAACTTCAATAAAATTGGTTTTCATAACCTTTATGCATATCGTTTTTAGTATTGTAACTTGCTCACTCGCCCCTGCTGGACATCACGTGCATGAAAAAGCTTTATAGCTCAATGGATTCTACCGGTCTAAAATATTCTTATAAAATATTCTTATTCCCCTTGTAATTTCGACAGCGTACGGCCAACCACGGGTTTACCCATTGCGGTTTTGCATAAAACTATTGAGGTGCATCTTATTGCTTTTTTCGGTAAAATCACGTAGAATGGAAATAATAAAATAATAAAAATAAACCAATAAAATAATTCTCACGACGTTTCGGCCAACAACGCAAGCAGCCGTCCTCAGGTGAAGACCAGGTCTGTCAGGGAGACATTATTTTATTATTTCCATTCTACGTGACTTTACCGAAAGAACCAAGAAGATGAATCCCTGCAGTCACGAAAGCTTTAAATCGATATTGAGGTGCAGTTCGCATTGTAACTGCACTGCCCGCGATGATGACGAAGCTGCTGCTGCTGTGGGACACCACCACCACCACCACACGTGTGCCACCACCACCACACGTGTGCCACCACCACCACCACCACACGTGTGCCACCACCACCACCACCACACGTGTGCCACCACCACCACCACACGTGTGCCACCACCACCACCACCACACGTGTGCCACCACCACCACACGTGTGCCACCACCACCACCACACGTGTGCCACCACCACCACCACACGTGTGCCACCACCACCACCACACGTGTGCCACCACCACCACCGCCACACGTGTGCCACCACCACCACACGTGTGCCACCACCACCACCACACGTGTGCCACCACCACCACCACACGTGTGCCACCACCACCACACGTGTGCCACCACCACCACACGTGTGCCGTCTTGTGTCTCCATCTTGTCTCCCAAGCGGCCCATCACGGGGCCCAGGTCACGTGGTGCTCCCAGCCTCCAGTGCGGTTCAGCCGCCCACGATTTGTCTGCCATTAGTGTACTGTACACTACTGTACACATACGTGCACTGTACACGCGCTATGCACGTGTACAGTACACGCTGTGTACTGTTGTGGTACCATGCCTACACGCACATGCATGTACGGTACATATGTTATATAAAATAAATATATGTTTTGCAGTTGCATACATTTACCTGCGGGGCCGTCCGTAAATGACGTCACGCACCTGGGAGGGGGTCAGACGTTTGTGACGAGGGTGGGTGAGAATGTGACGTCACATCAAAATGCGCAACTTTAAATAATTATAGACAACACGTTCCACTTAATTAAATAGACTTTGTAATAAATGTTTTCTACAACAGAATGCAGCGCCACTTAATTACGCACGACAATGACAGTTTAAAGCGATTTGAAGCATGTTTTTTTTGGGGGGGGGGGCAGAGCTTTGTGACGTCATATTTGAGGGAAGCTCTGACTTTTTGTGATGCTGCGTAACGAGGGGGGGGGGGTCCAAAATCGCGTGACGTCATTTATGGATGGCCCCTTAAAAGTTATATTTAACACTACAACATATTCATCATTTTACATTTTAAAGACTAACTGCAATGTTTGGGTTGGTGTAGGGTAACGTAAAATAAAAGCAGAGGTCGTATTACGAACCGTCAACCAAACCATAGTTTTCCCCACAATGCCTTTTGAGTTTGTCTATCGCAGATTTGCCAATTGCAGCTGTTTTCGAGAACGTAACCCCCTTGATGGGCAAGGGTTTGCTGTACTGCCATATTCTCTTCCAAACTTACAAGTTGGGTTCACCATCCTGCATCCTCTACATTCCCCAGAATTCAAATGCCAAACATATCTTAAATACTTTGTTAAAGTTGTCCGTGCTGTGCCGGCCTTCATAGGTGCTGCTTGCTAACAGCACTTGCGCAAATAGTCTGGTAAGGCTGTACGGGGGAAGTTTGTCTTTGCTGTTCTTTTGTTGCTTTTCTTGAATGCTTCGTAGGAATCCGAGTGAGTGTGGTTGTTGTGGTTGGCGCGACCGTTTTTCGTGGTGCAGGAGGCGCCGTGCAGCACTCACAAAGGAGGCCAAGGCCTCGGGAGACGCCGCTGGGAGACGTGGCTTCATCTTCATCACACGACACCGCCCCAAGCTGAGATTCGCAGCAAGAGGTGCGTCACTGGTGTTGTGTGATCAGGACTGTGAACATGTTTTATTTGCATCGTCGTTTTCCATGACCGGTTTGCCTTTTTAAATGAAAAATAAAGGGGAGCCACTACCATTGGTGTAACGGTTCGCATACTTAACTCAAATTATTAACGTTTTTTTATAAGGCATAGCAGACCCAACAAATGGCTTCAGAATGCCGTACAGAAACAAAAACATCTCTAGTTTATCTAACATCTTAGGAAATAAGTAGGTTTTTCGTTTATTTCTAAATGGGATAATCTCGGTGGTTCGGCACGGTAGTTCTTCAAATTATCCTGGAGGAATCTGATGAACTATGGAGCTCTTTTTCACAGATGCTGGCCACCCACCCCCTCGTGTGCCGTGCCGGTCTTACATCGGTGCTCGCTAACAGCACTTGCCCCAAAAAGTATGTTAAGGCTATATGAATGATCTTTGTGTTTGTGGCAGACACCAGTTCAGATGTCTCGGCTCCTGTCGTCTCTCATCATGGACGTGGACGACCGCCTGTTGCTGCTGCCTGGGCTGGAGGAGCAGCTGCCGGAGGCCGGGCCCGTGTGCCCCCTGCTCCCTGCTGAGGGAGCCGTAGGGGTAGCCCAGCCCCTACAGCCCCCTCGCTCCCCTGACCGCAGGGTGTGTGGCAGCGGTGACTTCCCCACCACCAAGCTGCTGGGAACGTGGGAGGAAGCCCGGCACGGTGCGACACCCCAACCACCATCAACACCGATTCACTTCCACAATCACTCGGCTCACCGGCGCTCAGTCACCTTACCACTCTGCTGTTGCTTTGTATCATCCAGTAAGTCCTCATTTAACACGATAGCAGAGTCTCCATGCAAAGTGCCGCGTTAAGCGAAAACAAGTGAAGTTAAAACATTTTGCCCATAAATAACGCCACAAAAAAGTTTTGTGAAATACGATGTACGCACACGCAGTGAGATGGTGGGACATAACTGAGGGTACGCCGCCGCGTTACTGGATCATTCGGCATACTGTATCACTTCGCTCAGTCATGCAGCTCAAGAAAGTTCGTCATTGACCGCTCAGAAACCACGTTATAATGGTGCGCATTCCGCGTTATAACGGTGCACGTTCTGCGTTATTACGGGCGCATTCCCGCGTTGTGCGAAACATGTTCCCTAATGCACAAAACCGCATTATAGTGAAACAGGATGGGCGTAACCATCTTAGATCTGACTAGAAGCAGCGCACAGAAGTGTTCAAGAATCCCTGAAGTTGCTCCAATAATATTTGTAAGTTGTAATATTTTTATCTTAATTATTATTTGTTGTAATATTAAATGGATACGTTTTTAGTAAATCCAGGGCTGAAATTATACATTACTAGGGGTTGTTCAGGGGCGCCTGTGGCACCCCTCACAACCACTTACGGCCTTCGGCCAGGAAAGTCGCCAAAAAAAATTCACGCGAACGACGCATTCACGCAAGCACCCGATGCTCCGTTTTGAAGTTTTTAAACATCTTTGAATTGTATTGTGTTTTGAATTAGATAATTTTATTTTTTCATTAAAAGCTTATATCATTTTACATCTGTGGAAGACTTAATTGAAAACGACATTTCGTGTGAATTTTCTTGCTAAGTAGATGGCCTTGCTGGGGATTCGGTTCTATGTGGACTTTCACCTGTTTGGGATTGCGGGATCGAGATAAGGTGACACGGAACCGCCGTCTGCAGATCGATTCCAACGTTATCGAACGTCTGTCCCTGTGCCTCCGTCGTTCATGCAGGGGAGGTGTAGGTTTGCAACGACCCCCTGCATGAAAACGACGGAAAGTGCAGCGTTCATCACAGATGTATAAAGTTGTGCACTTATATAAGAGTATTTTTATTCAATATCGCACCCCCCCCTTATAACATGTATATCTTTGCGAAAATTGGCTTCATATAGCGCGATTTAATTTACGTGCTGTTTTTCAGGAACGCATGTGGTACGTTATGTGAGGGACGCCTGTTTTGTGAATGCGCATTAAACGGCGATTTGTTTCATATCCGACCTCTATTCTGTGCCTAAGTCGGCTGCAGTTAGCACGAATTTCACTCTGTGACTCCCAAATGGTCGAACTCTGTCTAGTACTAATTTCTTGAAAACAATAACTGGAGCATATTTTTATTTACGTGTAAACATTTGCTCCCCAGATCCTTATGAAACTCCATTATTGAGTCCGATTGGGGGCAACTCACTGGTTGACACCATTGACCTGGAGCTGCTTGTGGACGAGCTGATGGGCGACTCGACGAACGGAATTCTGTGCCTCGATTCCCTGCTGGAACCTTCCTCGCTCCACGGGACAGAGTATGTTGCCATGGAGCTTGACCATATCAAAGAAGAGTCGCCCTTCGATCTTGGGTGAGTGGAGAGCTGGGGTGCTGCTGGTGGAAACTGTGCGTAACCTGGACATTTGGCTCGGCAGTGGAGGGAACGGAAGGTTGTGAGTTCAAATCTTGGTTAGGTGGTTGATTGCCTATCATTCTTTTGCTCCTCCGATTAGCACGGTTGGCTTTGTACGGTGCAAAAGAAGTTCAACGTACAAAAATTTGAACAGGACTTTGTGGGGTCGATCTGCCTGGAACTCGCCTACCCAGCCAATTGGCGGTCCATCGGCTTGGAACTTTGCCGCAACGCGATGTTCTTGACTCTTCGCAGACATTTAACCAGTTCAGTAGAAAATGCAAGACAGAAGTGTTTCATAGAGCTTACAATGTATTAATATTGCGCACTCGTAATAACATAGGTTATGAGTTGTGCATTTAGAAATGTACTTATTGGTTGTCCTGTGGATACACTCCTTGGGTATGTGATTTTTTTTTTTGCCACTGACTCCACTGTAAATGGGAGATTGAACACTGCCATAACCCTAATTTAAGCAGGAAATCACTTGACTGGACTGTTTGGGAGTTTTATTTTCGTACATAAAGTTAACTACAGACAGACTTTGTTTAGCGCTACCCTGTAGACCTCTGATTCGTTAAAGCACTGTATCCTGGAGAACATTTCTATTACAAAAAATTAAGAAAATCATAACATCTACAGAGCGCTTACGATTGAGAACAGTAGCGCTGGCTGAGGAAACGTACCCGCCCCCATAATTCGCTCAGCCAATGAGAGCGATGCACGCTCTGAACCAAACAGACCCTACCCTCGATTATTCAATTATATTATCACAGTTCTTGGTCGGTTTCATTTGTTTATTTTTCTCCAATGTTAATACAGTGTGTTTAGCTATGTGAAAACTCACGAGACCAGGATCGTCTTCTTTTGTTCTTCCCCCGTACCTCCGATTAGCACGGCTGGCTACATACGGTGCGAAATAAGTTCAACATACATACATAGGCTTCGCCTAAAAGAAACCTCACCACAGAGATTTTGACTAACAGCATCTCCATTGCTAAGACCTGGATTGGGAGAGCAACAGCTCCTCCAACCTCGTTTTCCAGCGCTGCCTTTTAGGAGGAGTACGCTAGATTGCACTTGTGAGTACAGTACATAATTAATACTTATTTATATAATTCTTAATTATGAAATGTTTACCATCTGTATTATTAATGCTATTACCGATACCCCAATGATGAGGCCTCACTTCTCCAGGAATGTATCTTGAGCACCAAACGAGATCTGCCTTAATATTTGACTTGACTATTTGGGAGCTTTGTTCTCGTACATACAAGTCACTTGAATGCTCAGGATTTTACCTTCCTCAGTTCTCAATCCCAATATACACTTATGAGGGTGTTGGATCTGCCATTGCTAGCTATTGATAGAAACTGACTTTCAAAAGCTCAGTGTCCATTCAGTGCTCAGCAACTTAAAATATTCTGGGTTATTTTCAGAGAGCTCCAGGACCTTCGTGATCTAAGTAATCCCGCTAGTCTAAATGTCTGTGGTGAGGTTTCTTTTAGGTGGAGCTTGACACTTTCAGTCTCTGGAGTTATCAGCTGGCCAAAAAATTGTAATTGGTTCACAGCGTGCGTAGTTCTCATTGGCTGAGAGAATAATTGCGGTGGGTATGTTTCCTCGGCCAGCGCTGCTGCGGTTGCTGCGTGTTTTCACTCGTAAACACTGCAGATGTTGTGATTTAAATTTTTCGTTTTAACAAAAATGATCCAGGACAAACAGCGCTGTAATGAATTGACGTTCTATGGGGTTGCACTAAGCGAGGTCTGCCTGTAAATGTTACGAGTCCACATTGTGCACTGACTTCTCGTGTCGTTTTTGTCTTTCAGAGATTCTGCCCTGTTCTCCAGCATCGAAGACACAGAACTCATGGAGCTGTCTGACCTGGATTTTCTGGAATCCTCATCGTTGATCAGTTCCACCTCCCCCATTGTTTCTTCTCACAACAATAGCTGCATTATTCCCAGTACCAACACCGATTCGGATACAGTGAGTACCGTCGAGGTAGCAAGACAGATTGATAGTGACACCAAGGTAAACTTTGACATCAATAATAGCCACATTGATGTTCCAGGGTGGATGAGCAAGTCTGATTTACAATCACGGTTCCTAAAGTGTGGCACCGTGGTGGAGAGTGGCGTCGGCAAAAGCTACGACCACTGCAGCAGCAGCAGCGGCTATAGCAGCGACACCTCTGATCGGCCAGATTCTCAGATGATACCTCTTGGCAGCAGTGTCATTGGCAGTGACGAGGTCGTAGGCGATGGCGCTGCATTGCTGGGGCAGCAGCTGCCGACTGTAGCCGCCACGGCACTGTCTGGAGGGTGCGAGCGTCGACTGCGGAAGAAGCAGCAAAACCAGCGGGCAGCCGTACGCTACAGGCAGCGCAAGCGCACGGAGCACGATACTTTGAAGGGGACGATGAGTGGGGAACAGGCGCGGAACAGGCAACTCAGGGAGCGCGCAGACGCCATCAGCAAGGAGCTGCTGTACTTGCGCGGGCTGTTGGAGGAGTTGTACGGCACCAGCCTCTCCAAGCAGAGTGCTTCGCTTGCTTGATTACACCCCCAAGGGAACCTTGCGATGGGAGCCACAGAGAGTGGTAGTGAATAGGTTACGATGAAAAGTATCATTGTGTCCATTACTGCTATTATTTGGTGGAGCTGTCAAGGGCTTTGACCTGATGTGTGGTAGAGGTGGAAGTTGTCATTTGGCTGCCTTGCCAAAGGATGATGACATTTTGGGAACCGTGATATAACGTTTAAAGTTAGTGGTTTAATACTGTCTTTGGCCTCTTAATCTTTTTTTGAACAAATTAAGGTACAGTGCTGTGGGTAGTCCTAATAAAGCAAACAAGTTAACATTAAGCCTATGTTTAGTGTCATGTGTGCTGTGGGAGCGGATGCCAATTGGGGAGAACCTTTACAGTTTGGGGGATATCTGGCATACAACAAACCCTTCTCGCGGGTTTAGCTTTTGTGGTTTTGCGCCAGATCTATTGAGGTACAGTTTGCCGATCGCGCCGCTGTGCCGGCTGAACTATTAGGGGTTGACTGCAAGATTCCTGTACACTACGTAAAAACTAGTGAAGATGCAGCCGCAGAAGAACACATGCGCTGTCTTATCTGTCTTGTCTCCCAAGCGGCCCATCAAGATAGCTAAACTCGCAAGGGGGAAGGGTTTGCTGTATAAAACAAGCAATTGCAGAGCAGATGGATGGGTGAGCTATACACGGGCACGATTTCGTACACTAGTGATAAGTGTAACCCTTGAGTTGCACAGAGAGTTGTAATCGGTGCGGTGACCACCAGGACGTCAAATCCTGCGGAACCTGTCCTGTGCACCAGATGATTGTACTGATGTCATATCGGGGAGCTTGCACACACATGCTACCATAATTCTTCTTAAGAGGTCGTTTCTGCTTTAGAGTTAACAGAATATTTATTATAATTGTTTTTTTACCCTTTTATCTGGCAACAAAACTGACACCTTTTTTTAAGCTGTCTCGGGTGTGGACCAATCAACTTCAAGGACAGTGCATACATTATCAGTTATGTTTTTTGTTTGCATTATGACTGCAGGTATTATGGTCTATCCAAACATGACTCCTTGTAAAAAAAGGTGTCAGTTTTGTTGCCAGATAAAAGGGTAAAAAAACAATTATCATATTTTTTTACTGGCAAATGAGGTTCCAATGGTGAGAATATTTATTTCTTGAGTAAAACCCATTGAACAGATTCCAAGAACACAGAATGAGATGTTACTATCCTTTGTGCAAGCACTTCCAAGAGTTCATGAACAGTGAGCCTGGTGAAATTTGGGGAGCGCATCGTCAGTAGTGTACCTTTGGTTCCTAGGGTGTTTCGGCCTTTCATACTATACACCCTCCCCAAAGGCGGCCAGCGACAGGGTGATCAATCCTACGCTTGCGTCCCATTCCCAATTAGTCATAGGAGTTGCCTTGTTGTTGGTAGCCAACATCCCATGGGACTATGCATGGCAGGGGCGTCCTCCTCCCTGAGTCAAGCATTGTTGACTGCATACCTCCTGGCCCTTTCACTTTGGGGCCCAGCTGGGGTCTTTCCTCTTCATCCAGAGCCACTGACTGCTGCCTTCTGCCGCCTCCGATACAGCTCTGATTGCCGAACGCTGGCTCTGGCCCTTTATTCCCAGGTCTCTAAGCAGTCTGGTTGTAGATGTTGCCACAAAACCTCTGCCGTACTTCGGCAGCTAAGAAGCTGTGTTTCAAGGGTGACTCGGCCGTTAGAAAACATCAAAAGCAGTCCACGATTACAGATAAGCAAAATTACAGTCAAACTTTAGTGATTTTAATACATCAGTTTAAATGAGGTGGGACCCAGCCATGTTTTTTTTTCTTTCTGGAGGAGCTCGTTGATGGGAATGTGTCCAGATATATCAAGGATTTGTGAGCTCACAATCCAGCCTGGATAAACCCAGGATGGATTGTTGGCAGGCCAACAGAAATATTTAAAACCGACACGTTCCATTTGGAGGGGGGTGCACGTTTCGCAAACAGCAGAAGAAAGGCATGACGGGCCAAGAAGACACGAAGCTTCAGGTATTGAAACTTTACTCTCCACAACTGCCCCATCACTCATGGGGAATTTAGGAGGTGCTTAGTTTTTATGGGGCTGATAGTAAGGCCTCACCTCTCGGTGATACGCTCTAGGTTCAGCAGGAGAATCTCCAAACTCCTTAGAGTGAGCAGCAATCAGATTATCAGCGTAACATTGACCAAAAGGGAGCCATCTCTTGACCTGACCCGTGCATTTATTAGCCTCCATTGTGTCTGTACCAGACACGAACAGCCATCGTCACTAAGTGGCTGTGGCGTCACCATGACATGCCAGGCCAGGTATACTCAGAGGCTTTTACATGAAGGCCTCTGACTCAACATTTGCCCTTGATGAAACCTGGGTATACGACGACTCACCAGAAGTAATTAAGTGTGAGGTTTCACCTAACTGATAAGTTATTGTTAGCATCGTTGCGGGAAACCTGGCACCGACAGCTCGCGTGGTGGGGGGATCGCACTGATTCGCCATACAGACGTCTGCATGAAAGTTATGAGCAGCTAACAATCTCGTCATTCGAGCTGGCACTGGTGAAAATAACGAAGAGCATGCAGGGGCTTACGATCGCTGTCTAACGACCGTCGTCTTCACTGCTGTCGGAATTCTTTTCCGAGCTTTTTGGTCTGCTAGACTGTGGGTCACTTGGCTCTCGCTACATTACACTAACACAATTTTTTTTGTTTCTGGGTAGTAAGTGTTATTTCCTAATTTGTTATGCCTCAAAAGTACAGAAAATGGATATTCCCCACAAACTTTGCTTTTGTGACCAGGATAGTGATATTTTGAAATTTACCTATTTTCAATGGGAAAACGGGCGAATTTGTCTTTTAATTCACGTGAAGTAAGAAAAAAACATGAATAAAAATTAACATGTATTAATACTAAAGTAATAAAAAAATTACTACAAAAGATTTAGGCACCAAGGTGCACTATCACAGGTGGGACTGGCCACAGCGGAGTTCTCTGTGGGGAGTAACAACGTCAAGTGGGAGCCACTCGTGGACCCCCAGAAGGTGCTGATGCCACCACTGCACATCAAATTGGGCCCTATGAAACAATGTCAAAGCTGTAAATAAGGAGTCGGCAGCCTTCAAGTACTTTCAAGTCTTCCCTAAGCTGTCTGAGGCAAAGGTCAAAGCCGGTGTCTTCGTCGGACCACAGATAAAGAAGATCATGGAGTGCAATGAATTATCAAAGAAGCTTGTAAGGAGAAAGCGGCTTGGAACAGATAATAAGTATTGTGGTTAATGCAGACATGAATCATTGTAAAAAGGTTTCAATCTTGTTGCCAGAAAAAAGGGGAAAACCCCTATTATGATATTTTGGTAATGGCAAAGGAGGTATAATGATGTAGATGCTCACCCCGAGCCCTAATTACTTTGATAATGCATTATTTGAGCTGTTCGTCTTTTGGCGTCCTCTGGTCGAGCACCAATTGGGTCGAGGCTCAAAAGAAAGCCGTCCCTTGGTGTGGACCAATCAGTTTCTCTGTGTGTCTATGTTGTGTGTGTCTCTGTGTGTCTGTGTTGTGTGTCTCTCTCTGTGTCTATGTTGTGTGTCTCTCTGTGTGTGTTTATGTTGTGTCTCTGTGTGTCTATGTTGTGTGTCTCTCTGTGGTGTCTATGTTGTGTGTCTCTCTGATTGTGTCTGTCTCTGTGTGTATGTTGTGTGTCTCTCTCTGTGTGTCTGTGTTGTGTCTCCCTCTGCTTGCGTGTCTGTCTCCGTGTCTGTGTTTTGTCTCAAATTTGGTTCTACCTGATGACGGTTGCTTGTGTTGCAATCGAAACGTCGTACTCTATTATTTTATTAATTATCCTTCTACGTGACTTTACCGAAAGAACCAAAGAGTGTTACATGGAAATGTACAATATTTTTTTATGCGTTTAACAATGCTTTCTTTTTGTTGAACCGTAACACATTTCATAACACTGAGCTTATGGGCATTTAAACACAGTACGTGTTCTCACTTACCGACCGCTCCACTTACGAACGGGTCTCAGGAACGAATTATGTTCGTTAGTCGAGGACTCCCCGTGCATGCAGAGCACATCTAATATTGAATTGAAGCTTTCGTGACTGCAGGAATCCATACTCTTTGGTTCTTTTGGTAAAGTCACGTAGGTAGAAAATAAAATAATATAAAATAAAACAAAATAAAAGAACTAAATAGATCACATCTTTTTATCTGAATGGTACAGCCCACACCCCCTCGTCCCACACATCTGAATGGTACAGCCCACACCCCCTCGTCCCACACATCTGAATGGTACAGCCCACACCCCCTTGTCCCGCACATCTGAATGGTACAGCCCACACCCCCTTGTCCCGCACATCTGGAATGGTACAGCCCACACCCCCTTGTCCCGCACATCTGAATGGTATCGTCCAACCCGATCACGTGGTGCGCACGGCGGGAATTTGAATGGCAGGGACTGGGAAATTGGCGTCTGTGTGGTAAATGGAGTTGGCCGATGCAACCTATTAAGAAGTGATGAAAACTCGGCACAATTATCAATAACATTGCTTTTAAAAAGGCGAGAATGAACACTGTGTAAGATATATATTGAGCGAATGAGGTAAGGTGTGTTCGGAGCGAACGGACGGGGAGCAGGCGAGACCCGGCCTCCAACGGTGACCAGGCCCCGACGCACTGTACGTACTGCGCACTGTACATCACTCGTGTCGTACTGTATGTACAGTGCGACGCCGCGCGGATACTCAAATCACAGTAACTCACGAGGGCGGATAAATGAGTGCCGTTTGTGTGCAGTCTAAACAAGTTGAATGTGTGTGTGGTTATGGATGGGCTGGCCGTATCGCGGTAGTTAGAATGTGAACAATGAGCACAGACCACAAAGTTCCACATCGCCAACCGCTCGCGAACAAACAGCACTTCTGAGATGATGACAAAAGAAGAGGCTCGACCCGGCAACACATATACAGGACGTGTCGAGGTTTTCAAACACCACCTATTGTGGGCACCTTATTGCAAGGCATCACGTCTGCATGCATGTGTATGCATTGCCATTTAAACCAATTGGCCTACACCAGAGACATTTCCCAGAGCTATAACTGCTCAACCCGAGCTATCAATGCTTTGATACTTGTATTGCCTTTGTGCTGGTCACCTTTTGGCGTTGTTCTCTGCTCTAATACTGGTACAAACACAAGGCCACAGAGAAGGCTGTAGCTCTGGTATAGGCCATTCGGTTTCAATAATATATACATCAAAGCGTGTATGTTTGCAGTATCCGTGTACTGTTCGCATTTTGACGTTCTCTGGCCTAACGCTGGTACAGAGACAAGGCAATAAAGTGAGGTCTGCCTGTAGTAACCACAGTAGGAGTGATAGAAGAGTGAGTAAAATTACTGGAGCGAAGCATTGAGGTATTGATTAGTTTAACACGTAGGCTTTCGGAACCAATATCTATAATACAGGTTTTTTGTATTAGATCGCGTAAATATATAAATGTGTCGTTAAACCCGCCACTACCCAACACAGCCAATTTAGTAAGGTTTGTCATGTAAACAGAACATGCCAATTCGATACGAGTACAGCACACCGGATCGCAAATCTGTCTGTCGCCTGATGAAGCTAGTTGTAATTTCTGGCGAAACATTGTACTCGGATTTAAAATGTTGTGGCTTGGCTCTCCAACACACCGGTGTGCTGTACTAGTAATGAATTGGCATGTTCTGTTCACGTGACAAACCTTACTAAATTGGCTGTGTTGGGTGGTGGCGGGTTTAACGACACATTTCTATATTTACGAGATCTAACCAAAAAAAACCCCTGTATTATGGAGTTCTTTACTCTTTGGTTCTTTCGGTAAAGTCACGTTGGTATAAAATAAAATAAATCACGACGTTTCGGGCGCAACACAAGCGTCCGTCATCAGGTGGAGTTCTTGCTCATTAACAAACCTGATTGGTTAACAGATAAAATGTTTTTACGTGATTGAGTACGAATCGTGATAATCGAATCGCGGGGGGGGGGGGGTCAGAGCGTCCGTCGCTCTCATTGGCTAAGCGAATGATGGGGGCGGGTACGTGTCCTTGGCGAGCGCTGCTTCGTGTTGTCACTCGTCAGCGCTTTGTAGATATTTTTGATTTTATATTTGTTTAGGTAAACAGTCCTGCAGGACAAAGAACGCTCTAACAAATCAGCGTTCTACGTGGATGGGCTAAGCGGGGTCTGCCTTTATATAGAATTCTGCCAAGCTCACTGTAAAGCAATGTTGTGGAGCAGCCATTCCTAACCTGTGTGCGTTATATCTCTAGGGGACGCGACAGACAAGTATTCCGAGCTCGTGGTGATGGAGGCCGGCGTGGAGAAGGAGGAGATGACGGAGGAAAAGACACCGCCAGCTTGCCCCTTCATCCCCGAGCATTTACGAAGCTTTGTCACGATCCGGAGAAAGCGGAATGCGGTAGCGAAAAATCAACAGCAGCAGCAACAGCATCATCATCACGATCAGCAGCATCAGCAGCAACAGGATCTCCAGGATTATAATAATCAACACCAGCAGGATCATGATGTTGATCATTGTCATCATGATGATCATCTTCAGCTGGCTTGTGGGTCTGAGTCTCTCTTCTCCCAGTTTGACTCCACGCCCCCTCTTCCCACTCGCACCCCCCGCTTACGCCACCGGAGTAGTGGTGGTGGTGGTGGCGATGGTGGTGATGGCCATGAGGTGATGGTGATGATGGAGATGTTCCGCCTAAGGTTGATGGCATCAACAAAGATGGGAGCGCGAGGTGGTGATGATGGTGGTGATGATGATGAAGATGTCACTCAAACGCTTTTGCTAAACCACGATTGCCACTCTGAGGATGCAATGAGATTTGGAGATGGTGGTAGTAATCATGGTGGTGTTGATTCTGATGGTGGTGGTCACGATAGTAGTTTTGGTGAATGTGGTGGTAGTGATGATGGTTGTGGAAACAACAGTCCTATTGGTTCTGTTCACAATAGCTGTGGTGTAGATGTAGATGTCTGTGGTGATGGAGGCGATGATGATGGTGTTGGTAGAGATGGTGGTGATGGTGGTGATGGTGTTTGTGAAGAACAAACTTTGTGGGTGACCTGTGCACCATCACCGCATTACCATTCCGAACCCCCAAACCCTTACCAGAGTAACAGTGATGCTGATGATGGTGATACTAAATACATTTGTGATCAAGATCAGTTTCCTGATCGTGATGATTATGATGTTGGAGATTGTGTTAATGTCCACTGCATTGTTCGAGATGATGTTGATGATGATGTGATTGGAGATAATCCTCAAGAAATCTGTGGACAAGGTGAAGATGATGACTATGACAATGCTGATGATGATCATGATGATTCCGATGATCATGATGATGATCATGATGCTGGACCTCCTAACTTCAGCACGAGAGAAGAGACAGCCTCGTTGTCCAAGTGCACTTTAAACTGTTTAGACGACTCGGACACATCTCATTGGACACTCGGACAAGACTCAAGTGTCTACCTCGACCCAGAACTCAAAGACCAGGACATTCAGTGTACCTTGTCTTTGTTTAGTGATGTATCTGACTTGTCTCAGAAGACGCTAGATCCATTGTTGGACTTGGACAGTGCTACACGGACACTCGGACAAGACTCGAGTGTCTATTTAGACACAGAACTCAAAGATCAGGACATTCAATGTACCTTGCCTTGGTTTAGTGATGTGTCTGACTCGTCTGAGAAGACATCCTATTTAGAGGACTCGGACAGTGCTACACGGACACTCGGACAAGAATCGAGTGTCTATTTACACACGGAACTCCAAGATCAGGACATTCAATGTACCTTGCCTTGGTTTAGTGATGTGTCTGACTCGTCCGAAAAGACGCTAGATCCATTGTTGGACTTGGGCAACACTACACAGACATTCGGACAAAACTCAAGTGTCTGCTTAGACACGGAACTCAAAGATCAGGACGTTCAAGTAACCTTGTCTTGGACAGAGAGTGAAGTGTCAAGCCTGGGTTGTGATGCTGATGTTGGTGGAGGTGGTGGTCAGAGTGGTGGTGGTGATGATGTCGATTATTGCAGTGTTGGTCGTGGTGGTGATGGTGTTAATTATGACATGCATGGCGGTGGTATTAGTGATGGTGACAGCAATGATGATGATCATGCTTTATGTCAAGATGTTGATGGTGCATTTCAAATTAGTGGCTTTGGCGATGGTGTTGATGATCGTGATCATCATGATGATGGTGTTGATCATTGTGATGGTCGCTGTTTTAGTGGTGATGGTGGTGGTGGGCGTGAAGTGGGTTGTTCTGTGCCACTCTGGGTGCTGTCCCTGCCCGATATGGAGTTGCGTGGGGCGCTCAACGCTCTGGGCGTCAGGGCGGCTCCAGTCGTAAGCAGCACCCGTGGACTCATGCAGAGACTCCTGCTCATGCGCATGGTGGCATCAGCGTCGGACTGCCAGAGCCTAGCCCAAGCCGCCACGCCACCCTCGCTCACAGGTAGGCACATACGTGTGTGCCACCCACTGTGCGCGTGCCACGCACCATGTGCCACGGATACAGACTTACACTCTGACACCCCTTAGTTCACACGGAGACAAAGATCACCCATATAGCCTTTACCGACTGTTGGGCAAATGCTGTTAGCGAGTAGCAGTTTTTAAGGCTGGCACTGCACACCAAGAGGGTGTGGGTCACCAGCCCCATGCCCGGCCGGCCGCTTTTATCGTCTCGGTAGTGATGTTTACACACCGCACCAGGTACTTATTTCAGGATGAGTCGACCTAGGGGAGGCCCAGGACCGGTTCAGATAGTTTTCGTCACTATTGGCCGTGAGCGGGACTCGAACTCGAATCGCTGGATTTGTAGCGCAACACACTAATCACTGCGTCACCGCTTCCCACAGAAACACATGCTTACACAGACACACAGGCTCACGGAGAGACCTATGACCGACAGCGTCTTGAGATGTGGTCGAAATTTGGACGCTATATAAATCCAAATTGTAAATGTACATTATCACTAACACTCACATCCCCACATTTGTGTGATGCTTATGGTGCTGATGATATTGCTGCTGATGCTGCTGATCATGCTACTACTGCTGCTGATAATGTTGCTGCTACTGAAGATTATTTGTTTGGTGATGGATGGTTTATGATGATGGGTTATTGATGATGATGGGTTATTGATGATGATGGGTGATGTATAATGATGCTGTTGATGATTCCAGTGTGCTACAGCCTGGAGATGCGTCGGGCCCTGTTGACTGGCCTGATTCCCGACTGCTCCGAGGATGAGGAGCTCGTGAAGTCCCAATTCGACTCCTGGACCCTAACCTCACGACCTCGGCCGAGGGGCAGACGGAGGAGCATGGGGAGGGTTCGGTGCATCAAGAACTGCTTCAACTACCTCCTGCTTGACCCGCGGTGAGCAGCAGCAGCATCATCCGCAGCAGCATCAGTAGCCTCATCAGCAGAATTATTAGTAGCAACAGAATTATCATCAACATCATCAGCAGCAGCATCAGTAGCACCAACAGTAGCTGCAGCATCTCTGTGTGTCCGTGTCTATCTCTGTTTTATACTTTCTGTGTATGGGAACGGTGGCGCAGTGTTTAGTGCAGTGCGATACGAACCTGGCAACCCAAGTTAAATTTCTGCTTTTGACCAAAAACAGTGACGAATAATTTAACCAGTCCTTGGGCATCTCCTAGGCCGACTCAGCCTTAAATGAGTACCTGGTGTGATGTTTAAAATCACCATTAGGGAGACAAAGACGGCCAGGCGTGGTGCTGGCCATCCACCTCGTGCCGTGCCAGCCTTTATAATTGCTACTCAGTAGCAGCACTTGCTCCAACAGTCTGTTAAAGCTATACGGGGGGTTTTGTCTTTGAATACTTTCTATAGTTTTTTAGCAATTAAACCAGCATGTTTGGCAAGAGTAGAGGGGCGAATAGATGTAGCACGACCTGGAGAAAAGATGGACTGATGGGTGAGTAGGTTAGTGGGTGGGTTGGTGGATGAGTGGGTGGGTTGGGTAAGTGAGTGGACGAGTAGGTGGACGAGTGGGTGGGTTGGTGAACCTGAACTTCTTTCGCACCTTACGTAGCCAACCGTACTTATCAGAGACGAGTGGGTGAGTGGCATGGGCTAGACAAGAGATGGAGCTGGTGCAGTACAGGAGGATGTGGTGTCAAGATCAGCCTCTGCGGAGAAGGAGGCTTGTGAAGGATGCTACTGGGCAGCGCCAGGCTAGGTGCACCTTGAGGCGACTTGGCAGTTGGAGGCAGTCACCCTCTAACAACAGTGGGGGGCAGAGGAGCGACGCTCATAACAACGAACAGAGTGCCGGGCGGCTAAGGAAATTGCCACAGTAGGAGGGGCCACAGGTGGTGCATCTGCCAGTCATCTCCGTAAGTCAACCCATAGCGCCGGAGTCTGTCCCGTGACCTCATGCACATATATGTGACCTCCCGCACCTAGCCTGGCACAGTAATCAACCCTTGGAACCTGGGTCTGTCCCCTGACCTGCCAGCAGTGAGCCTTCCACACTTCACATGACGGCTTCAAATTGCACCTAGCCTGGCACAGGCGCCGTGATGATGTTACTACTGTAGGGGTGTTACGGAGGGGGTGTTATACAGTTGTCGGACGGTAAACAAACACACTGGGCGTGGCTATGTCTGTGCGAGGGGAGATGCTCACAGCGACGTCCGCACCGTTCAGCCTGGGGGGCTGACACGGAGCTGGGATCCCCCGCGGCCTCACCCCTCAACGGGGGGGGTGATATATAAAGCAGTGAGCCGGAGGGCTCGGGGCAGTATGTATTAAGCTTAAACCAGTGAAGAAGGAAGATCTACTAGATAGAGCCCTGGGACTCCCCTGGATCGCTGCCCTTCTCAGGGCCGACCAGAACCGAGCCAGTGGCGTGGCCCCGAGAGCCAGAGCCGGTGCTCTTGTCAGAGCCGGTCTGGGGACTCCGGGCGCCGTAATCCCAGCTTAACCAGGGCTAGGCTAGCTAGCCTCCCCTAGCCCGATAGTGGAGGACCTAGAGGTAGGCTAGGTGTAGCCTAGAGCGTGACTTCCCAGTTAGACGGGTGAAGGGGCCGACACCCCTTCCAGTGCTGTACGTCCCGGTCTGTGTTGTACCTTGTACTGAATAAATAAGTGTGCCTCCAACCCCGGCGTCCAAGTCCTCCTGAACATTATTACACTACCACTAAATAACAAACGACGGCTATTGTTGTTGTTATACTTGGTCAGCAGCAAACTTATGGCTCCAAGTGGAGGTGGTGAGCAAGGTGGTGAGCAGTTCCGTATCTTCGTGAGTTCCATCTTCTACGTTGGAAAAGGTTCAGGAAATCGCCCGTTTCATCATCTCCAGGAGGCAATGGCTCACCTCCACTCGCCACACATACAGGTACACTCACCACACTGTCACTCACCACACACGGATACACTCATCGCCATTCACCACAGGCACAGGTACACTCACCAACAACAACAGATGCCATTCGCCACTAAGTGGCGGTGATGTCACCATGATGTCTGTACCAGGCCAAATGCCAGACCAGCCACTCGCCACATTTAGAGGTACACTCACCACAAATATAAAGATCTCCCATATAGCCTGAATAGACTGTTGTGGCAAGTGCTGTTTGCAAACACCTATGAAGGCCAGAATGGTATATAGTAGAACCTCTAGTCACGACCATAATTCGTTCCATAACTTTGGTCGCAACCCGATTTGGTCGTGACTCGAACCTAATTTCCCCATTGGATGTAAATATGATTAATCCGTTCCAGACTCCTATGAACTGTATATAAATATTGTTTTTTAAAGATTTTTAAGCACAAAAATAGTTAATTATGCCATAGAATTCACAGTGTAATAGTAAACTAAATGTAAAAACATTGAATAACACTGAGAAAACCTTGAACAACAGAGAAAACTAACATTGCCGTGTCAAGGTTTAGAATCGTTCAACAAGATGATTGTTTCGTCTGCTACATCAGTCGGTCGATTCTGAGAGAGAGAGAGAGAAAATTCGTACGAGCAATTCATGTTTATATTGAAAGTAAGTAAACAGTAATATTTGGGTACAGAATTGTTTTTGGAAGCATTCATTGTAATATCGTATGAACGTTTACTTCACCGCATCATCGTATGAATGATGCGAGAAGAGATTCACGGGTTCTTATGTTAGCGATTTACGTACTCAGCGCTTTCGCTCACTAAATTACGGCTTGAATGAGGGGGAGGGGTATGACTACACTCACAAAATTAATATCTTACTAGGAATTTTATATAACAAAAGTGATATACTTAACTGTTACGCTTTGTGTTGTTTGTAAACAAACAACATGAAATTTGGCGCTTACAAAAAAAATGGCGCGGAAGGGGAAATCGACCGTGGCCGAGTTTGATCATCACCCGAGTTTGTGTTCGTGACCAGATTAAAAAATGTTGTGAATTTTTTGGTCATAACCCGATTTGGTCGTTGTCAGAAGCGTTTGTGACCAGAGGTTCTACTG